ATCATTAGAGACTTAACAACACCGTAGCATCGTATTTCCTCCAGCTGAAATACAAACTTCAACAATATAAAATATTATAAATCAAGAATAAGAAAAAAATAAGAATTCGAATAATATAAAATGTTTTAAGAGTTGTAAATATCTGTACAGTTCTTGGCTTAAACAGCTTGACATGTAAAATTATAGAAACGTGTGTGTTTTGACCTTTGAAGACTCTGGATCGATTTTACTTCCTACTTTCTTGTTCCAGCTCTGGAGCAGCTGGAACACCTTAAAACGTTCAGCGTTACTATTTAAAAGGCAGCTTTTCTTCATGTGTGAATGTAATGAAAGCTGAATTAGAGAAACATTTGTTTTTTTAAATACATTTATGATGTGATAAGCCTCTGTTTTCATTCAAGCTGTTGTCTTTCAGACATTTCATGAAGACAAACTTTGAGTGGTTTCCACAAACACATTCACCTGTTTGGTTTCTGTCTATAATGTAAGAAAACAAGAATATAAGATGAGGAAAGACATGTAAATATAGCAACGTGCTAAAATGTTTGTACTGACCTTTGCAGTAAAATGATAAGCAGCATTGTGTAATAGCAATGTCATTTTTAATGCACTCACTCTAAACCAGTATGTATTAGTAGAGTGAGTGCATGGACATTACAATTTATCACAATTAACAAAGCAGACAATGTTTCACACTGTCTGTAAAAAATAAATAATGTAATTTTATTTTTTAGAAAAAAATAAGAAAAAATTAAAAGTTCATGTTCCTACCGAGTGCAGTGGGCAGCCGTCAGCACCCACTGTGGATGGATCAATGTCCCTCCACACGAAGACAGTTTACCTCTTAAATAAGCCATGAAAGGCAGCGAGTGCGGCTCGACTTCTTTCCCTTGAATGATCTCAGAACCGTGACCTGAAACAAAAAGAAAATATCCAAAAACATAAATCAGCACATGATCAAGTCAAGAACAGATGAGTGGAAAAACACTGCACCAAGATATCAGCAATGTGTTCTTTGTTGTTTACATAACACAATCATTCATTAAAGCCCAATAGAAACGTTACTCACCTGGCTGTGTGATGAAGAGGAGCACGCACGAGAGGAAAAGACCGAAACTCCTCAGGCAGAACATTTTTCCTGGCTGTGGTAGATCAGATGTTGAATGCAGTGAAACCCGCTGTGATGAATCACACACAAAACTGAGGAGTGCTGATGTTGTTCTAATGCCTGTGCTCAGACTGGTCATAAGTGATGACCTTAAGCTCTTTTTATATCGTGCATTATCTCACATCAAATCTTGGTGCAACACTTTGAGCAACACGTATGAATGTTTCTAGCAACAGCTCACAGTTTCAGTGGGTGTGTGTCCACACTGTCAGTTACACTCATGAGTGTTTCTAAATGCCCCATTTTAATTAGAATATTTATGAAAGTAAATGATCTGAAAGGACAGAGCGTACAAACTACAGACCAATACTTCAGAATACAATAACTGAACTCTATTTCCCTCAATCAGCCACACTAATTATTTGATCCTCTGCTGAAACTGATTACAGATTCCTCATTAAGTGTATGAAGCACACCGATCCACTGAATCAATTCACTCCATGCTCACCTCCTATCACCGTGGGTAAGACCGAAGGACATCAGGGACACGACTGAAGACGTACACTGGGATAGACAACAAGATCATCAGCGATAAGCTTGGTGAGAAGGTGACAAGCGTTGGTGTGATTATTCAGAAATGGAGAAATGTCACTTCCTCAGCCTCTCTATGAACCCGATTACAAGCAAAGACTCTTCAAACGCACCACAGCAGCTTCTAACTTCTCCTTTTCTCCCTGCAGACGCTCCGGGTGTATTCCTACAAACTGTGTTCCTGCCAGCAGCTCACCTTCACTCAGAGAAACCATCACTGCTTTTAATACAACTGCAGTCAGCTGGAGTCTGCTATGAGCTCACTTCAAGCTTAAACATTGTGAGTTTAGTCTCTGTAATAAAAGAATTTACCAAACATGAAATAAAGTTGTTCTTAAATTAAAGGCATAAACATTAAAATCTGACTCTGTGTGTGAGAGAGATGGATGGATACAGTATCTCACAAAAGTGAGTACACCCCTCACATTTTTCATGGGACAACATTGAAGATGTGACACTTTGCTACAATGTAAAGTAGTCAGTGTACAGCTTGTATAACAGTGTAAATTTGCTGTCACCTCAAAATAACTCAAACACAGCCATTATTGCCTAAACCAAGCAAAGGTGGCAGCAACAAAAGTGAGTACACCCCTAAGTAAAAAAGGTCCACTGTCTCATACTCTTATGTGATTGGGAGTCACTTGGGAAGGCAGTGTAGTAACATCCATTTCATTCAAAGGTGTGGACGGAAACAAAGCAAAACCTAAACTGGAGAAAAAACACAACACAGAACTGAAATGGCAAAGCAGGCAGACGCAGGTAGATGACACAGAACGAACACAGACGACAGAGGGCGACAACCCGGCAACAGGCAGGAGAACACACAGGGCTTAAATACACACAGCAGTAATCAGGGGATGGGAGACAGGAGGGAAGCACACCTGGGTGAAATTATGACTGACGAGGCAGGTGAAACGTAAGCTGAACACACTCACATAAGAAAAGGACCTTCAGAACAAGACAGGAACACATACACGTAATGACACAACACACACAAACAACAGAACATAGGAACACGAAACGTGAAAAAAGGACAGTACAACACCCCAGAATAACAATAAACTAAAACATAAACATGGAGTCACAGACTCTGGACCATGACAAAAAAAGCTAAACATGAGAGGGTTTTGGACAAAGTGTGTGTTCTCCATTCTTTAAGCATCGGTTCGAGCACCGTTTAAGCACCGGCACCGTTTCAAAATTACCGGTTTGGCACCGGTATCAGACAAAACCTAAACGATACCCATCCCTAGTGTCACTGTCACCTCTAACAGACTGTGTGCACGTAGCAGGCTGGTTTTGTTGCTGTAGATCATCCTGGACTGTTTGTCTTCCTGTGTCCTATTTAGACCGTGTTAAAGTTAAAACTGCTCATGTGACAGGATGTGAGTTAGAGTGCCGTTCCTTCTAAAGTTTGGAACATGCAAACAGCCATGAGGGACTCCTTCATTAAACTTTTGCCTAGCAACCTGGACTGAAGCTTACAGCGGGACTAAGGGACCCAAACAGGAAGTTTGCAGCCTGATAAATAAAGGCCCATAAACAGGTGACAAACAACAAACCGGTTGGACTGTGTACAAAACTGAAAGCTGTGAATAATGATAACATCACCTAACATGTCACGGTCCTGAGTCTTTGACCAGAAGTTTGATTTTTTTAAATTTATTATTTATTCTTTTGGATGATTTACTTTTACTCTGGTATTTAGTGTTGAGTATGATAGTCTAGTCCAGGGCCAGTGTCCTGCAGGCTTTAGATCTCACCCTGGGTCAACACACCTGAATCACATGATTAGTTCATTACCAGGCCTCTGGAGAACTTCATGACATGTTGTGGAGGTCATTTAACCATTTAAATCAGCTGTGATGGATCAAGGACACATCTAAGACCTGCAGGACACCGGCCCTCGAGGCCTGGAGTTCCCTACCCCTGGACTAGTCCTTAGTTCCTGATGATGTCAGTTCTTTTCTGTGTCTGTCATGTCTCCATGTCAGTGTCACGTGTCTTAGTCCTGGTCTCTGTGTTGGTTTCTTTTCTCTCGTCCTGTGTGCATTGTGTCTCTTTACTCTGTAATTAGTTCCAGTTGTCTTCCCACCTGTTAGTCATCGTCTTGTTAGCTGCTGTGTCCTCCGTTTTCTCTGTTCCTTGTTGCATCATCTCTGCTGGCTGTGTGTCCAGTTTTCTCCTTGCCTGAGTTTTTGTATTTCCTGTAACAGCAATGAGGCTTCATTTAATTTGTCTTTGGTTCCTACTCTGCCTGCACACAGTGCACCATGACACAACAGGCTAAAGTAAATGCATAAAGCATTATCAGCAAAGTGATCACATTCAGAAGCAGGGTCAATCATGCAGTTAGAACAGATGGACAGTTTAATGCCTCGAAGAGGTTATTGCTCAACAAGCCAGATCTGTCACTGTCGCTCTGCACGAGTGTTATTGTCCTCGTTCTGTTTTTGTTCTCCTCAGAGGTTACAGTTACAGGACACTGGATCGCTCCTTGTGTCTTGTCGTGCGATCGTGGCTCAAGAGTTGGGAGTTCCCCTTGTAATCGGAAGGTTGCCGGTTCGAGCCCCGGCTTGGACAGTCTTGGTCGTTGTGTCCTTGGGCAAGACACTTCACCCGTTGCCTACTGGTGGTGGTCAGAGGGCCCGGTGGCGCCAGTGTCCGGCAGCCTCGCCTCTGTCAGTGCGCCCCAGGGTGGCTGTGGCTACAATGTAGCTGCCATCACCAGTGTGTGAATGTGTGTGTGAATGGGTGGATGACTGGATGTGTAAAGCGCTTTGGGGTCCTTAGGGACTAGTAAAGCGCTATACAAATACAGGCCATTTACCATTTGTGTCTGTATCACTGTGAAACTAAGCTTAGATTATTGTCATTTTCATTCTGTGCTCTAAAGACTGACACACATCATGTCAGGGTGTTGTTTAAGGATGTTTGTGGTGAGTGATGTGTTCAGGGTCCAGGCCAGGGGACTTCTTGCTCTGTGGCTTGTGGTCATAAAAAAAACACTAAAAATGGAGGACTGAAACAATTCCTCATCGCAAAGTGATGTGAAAGATTTAGGAGTTTGGTTTGGGCTCGTCGGCAGGTGAGGCCGAGACACACCGGAGCTCCATCAGCTCATCACACCTCCCTGCATCAACGACTGTGACCTGAGGTTGTGGCTGTGTGTGAGACAAAACTGCAGCCACGTGTTGTTAGAAGTGACAATCGAAAAAAGAAAAGTGTGAAAGAGTGAAGTATGTGGTGCAAAAAACAGGACGCTTTGAAAGAACCATGAATGAAAGAAGGAGCCACGAGCTTTATTCGAAAGTAGAAAGAATAGAAAATGTGTCAGGACAAATTGTTGTTTTAGGATTGTTTGTTTGTTTGTTTTTTTAGCACAAATATTCAAAGAGCAATAAAATACACAAGAATTTATGCTTAAAAATTCAGCATAAAAACATTCTGGCCACAATCTTTAGTTTCTAACACAGGAGATGGTGACAAACCATGACTGACAGACTGAATAAACTCACTTTGTTTTATGTTCATGGATTATGTGTGATAATTAAAAACAATTGAAAAAGAGAAATTACAAATTAAAATTTGAGTGAAAATAACATCTTTTCACAAATCAGTAAATTGCAGGGTAAAAAAGCTCATTTTCCCCTGTAGAAATGTAAAGATTGCTTTTGGAGCTGTCGTGATCGTTGCGAGGTCATCACACTTATACAGGGTTGTGTATACACCTGTAATTACAACAGCTAAAATGAAAAACAGCAATCCATAAACCATCACAGTGGCTGTGCCTTTAATACTGAATGGCTAAAAAAACGTGTTCAGGTCAGTCCAGTTAATGTTCCCGCCTTCAGTTCCTGCAGTGGAAACGACTGACCGTGACAGCACCGCTACATGTGCAGAATGTGAGCAAGCTAGCAGAAGCTAAAAACTGAGAAATGATAAAATGGACAATGGTCTACAGAGACATCACCGAGAGATTTAACATGAAAGCATCAAAGATTCTCCTCTTGCTCGTAGAGACTGACGCCTGTGCTTTCGTGACATTTAAGCTGACTTTAATGTTTCCTTGATCCACTTCAGTTGTTTCCTTGAGACAAACGAGTAGACTCCAGGTTTTTTAATGACACCACAACCCCGTCCGAAAGAAGTGACTCCAACCAGCGCTCCATCACACAACAGCGGGCCTCCTGAATCCCCCTGCAGCAAGAACAAACACATGACAGTGTTTCAGGTGTTGAGCTGAATGCAAGGAAACAAGGAAAAATACATGTATTCTTCATACGTACCTGACAGGTATCAGCGACGTTTGTACCATCTGAACCAGCACATATCATGTCATCAGTGATAACAGGGTCGTGGTCGTAATAATCACGAGAGTTGCATGTCTGCCTGTCGACCACAGTCACATTGACAGACTTGAGGACGTCTGATGGTCGTTTTGTTTCGGTTCGTCCCCATCCAGCCACCAGACACGTGCTGCCAGCTGCCGGGTCTCTGGCTGTGCGTAACTTGAGCCATTTGACTGCCCCGGTTTTCTTTGCTGGTTTGTTAAGCTAAAAAAAAGTATACATATAATTAAGTTAATTCTTATTATTAATTATCTAATTAAGTCAATTAATTTAATCTTGTTAAAATGATGTGGCTAACACGTTAACGAGCTAACCAGCCCCGCGTGGCGATCTGTGTTAACGAGGTATTAGAGATTTGCCGCTTTAATGCAGTTTTGGCGTTAACGTCATTTTATTGAGATTAACACTGGCAGCACTAATATATACATAAATATGCAGCATTGTGCTGAACTTTTGCACCATCAGTCATTCACTCATTTATTTTTATATTTTCCTGAAATATCTGCAGTGATTTGTTGAAATGTGTGTGAACGTGTCTAAAGAGAAAATACTTTATTTAATATGAAAATGTTGCATTTTTTCTTTACTTACTTTTGGACACTGAATCATCTCCTTACCTTGAGCAACATGAGGTCGTTGCCCAGAGCGACACTGGTGTAGCTGGGATGAGGAACGTGTGTCACAACCTCTCGGATCTGTTTAGAATTTTCTTCCCGTTTCTTGATAGAGTGTGCTCCCAAAGTCGCCTTATTCATACTGACACACACACACACAAGTGATGACTGTTTACATGTTTTAAAAGTTAAAAGTTCAGGTTCAAAAACAATAATCATAATTGTCTCATTGCATGTGTGTTAATATATAGCACAGGGGTGTCGGACTCCAGGCCTCGAGGGCCGGTGTCCTGCAGGTCTTAGATGTGTCCTTGATCCATCACAGCTGATTCAAATGGCTAAATGACCTCCTCAACATGTCTCGAGGTTCTCCAGACGCCTGGTAATGAACTCATCATCTGATTCAGGTGTGTTGACCCAGGGTGAGATCTAAAACCTGAAGGGACACCGGCCCTCGAGGAGCTTCCACCTCTGGCCTACAGGAGAGAGGAAAACTCTGAAGCAGCTGTTATACATAACACCTTCAAAGAGGATCAGCTCTACTCTCTAAGAAACAGCTTTTCTTTGGGTTTGTGAATGTTATTAATTTAAATTACAAACATATTTTGTGTAGCATCATTTTTTGGACTGTGATCACGTTCTCGTTTCGTTAAAGAGCAAACCTGTCTACTTGTTTTCTAGTTTTTTTCCTGTCATGTAAAGTTGGAAAAATGTTTATACTGCTCATATCAGTAAAATGTTTGCTGACATTATTTTTTGCTACGATAAATATAAATCCAGCAACATCATGTTTATGTCCTCACTCACAGTCAGTATATCAAAGTGTGCAGACATGTGATCCCACGCTCTAAACTATCAAAATTTAAGAAGGTCACAATATATTCTCTTCACAGTCTGTTAAAAACAAATATAATAAATATTTAAAGAATAAGAAATGTCTTTTTTTTTTTGCCTGTCCTGTTTGGCACTGTAACAATCAGTATGACTGTCTGAAGGCCAAAAAAAAAAGCCCAACAGACTGACTTTCACAAGTGGATCATTACAGTTTTTGTCATATTGGTCCACTTGATTGTCATAGTTCATTCGATCTTCAGTATTTACTTTTTTTACTTTAAGGTTATTACAGTCAGAATGGAGAGGAGCGGGGACGGGAAAGACAAAGGAAAGAGAGACACAGCAGAAACACAGAAACAACCAACATGAGTCATCATGTAGCAGTAAATAATAAATATTGAATGCTACACAAGACTGACAACACACAATTATTTAGAGGCAGCAGCCACCAAAGATAGTGTGTGTTTGTGAGCACGTTTTGTATTCATAAGGTTTCTTCGTGTAACTGTCTAAGAGTGGGTATGGGGCGCCATAGCCCCGCCCCCAGGGACATGAAGTAGGCGTGGTGGAGATCCAGACCCCAGACAGTTCGAGGCTCCTTAAAGCATGGGATTCTTACCCAGTGCAGTGGGCAGCTGTCAGGACCCACTGTGGATGGATTAATGTCCCTCCACAGGAATATTCACCTGTCACATGAGCCATGAAAGGCAGTGAGTGTGGCTCGACTTCTTTCCCATTGATAATCTCAGAACCACGACCTGAAGCAGAAACCAAACATCAGGACACATAAATCAGCAGATGATCAAGTGAAGAACAGATGAGTGAAATAAACACAGCACCAACTGCTCTGTAGCACTGAACAATATCAGGAACTTTGTGTTACACTTGTTTACATGAAGATTTAAATGATCAACAAATAAATTAAATTACAATAGAAAACATCACTCACCTGGCTGGATGATGAAGAGGAGCACGCATGAGATGAGAAGACTGAAATTCTTCAGGCAGGACATTTCTTCTTCTTCTTCCTTTGATCTGTTGAATGCACTGAAACCCACTGTGATGCTTTATGTGCTGAGCTGAGGGGGCGTGGTCTGAAAATGGTGGGTAAGATAAATGGACACACACACACCTATACAAAGTGTTTTATTATTCTGATTATGAAATAGTATCAATACTATGAACAAGCACAAGTTAAACCACGCCCACAAAATATAGCAGAGAGCCCCGTCTCGTGAGCCCAGAGTTATTTACTCCAAGAAATCTTTGAGGCTGAATCTCATTTACAGTCATGTTGAGTTACATTTAGAGCAGAAGTGACAACAAGCACAACATATAACAAAAAAACAAAAACAAAAAAAGAACAGACAAATGAACACGAACATGTGACTCACGTGCAACAGAGTGACATTAAAAACAGTTCTCCTCTCGCTCGTTTGGTCTGTGTCACTGAAAATGATACCTCAAAGGTTTCTACAAACTGTGTTCGAGAAAAAAAAGGATAAAAAAAAAGGATAAAAAGGAGACAGCTTGAAATAAATGAAAGAGCATTTCTGACAAAAGACGCAGTGTCCTAATATTTACAGACGTTGTCAACACAGTTTCACCAAAGGTTGCAAAACTATATCGCTGACAGTTTTTCCCAATCGAGCTGCCACAGAAATGCCGCTGCAGTTTTTTTAAATTGACATTGAAATTGAAAGCCTTTGTCATTATACACAGTTTAACGACATTGGAAACAGCTCTATAAAAGTGCACACATGCTTATAGCACATTATAAAAACTATGCAATAATTTAAATATACACTTTTGCCTTCCTTCAGACAGGTTTGCTTAATTGTTTTGCTTCGGTGGTTTCTCAAGCTCAGAAAGAGTTAAAACAAAATAATATATAATTATATAAGGTGACAACAGGCATTGGCAATTATTAGCTTTAAATAATTTCTTTGAACTTTTGCTTTTTCAGGGTGGAATTATTATACAACGTACATTATTAGTGTCTTTAAAAGTCGCACAGTCACAAGTTTACACACTAATGTTTTTTTCTCGAGGAGTGTGAAGAGCACAACCAGCCTCGCTCCTCTCAGCCAAAACCAGTACAGTTATAAGAACAAGAATCTTTACAGAATACAGACCAGTGTTCAAACGGTAACATGCTACTTATGGACTTTGTACATGTGTGAAACCACTTGGGCAGCGGTTGTCCTTCTCTCCCGGATCGGCTGGAACTTTCTTTTGGCGCCTTCCCAGCTTTGACAAAAGTCCAGCTGGGATAACCACATTTCTCCCAGCTGGACATCTACAAGCTGACGTGTACCATAAACCTACACATACAGATCAGTATCTTTGTCTCATCATCCACTGGAGCACAAACTGGGTGTCATCAGGACGCTACAACACAGAGCGAACATCATGCCCACAGACACAGCAGCCAGGGAGGCAGAAGAACATCAAGAAGGCCCTGAGTGAATGTGGTTTGGAGGGTCTGGACGTCTTTAAGTTGCTTAAAAAAAACCCAAAAAACTAACAAGCACGACATCTCAGTGTACTTCAGACCCAGCCATACACTCAGATAAAACAAAACGCCAAAACACAGACTTAACAATGTGGTGTATGCTGTACAGTGCAGCGAGGAATGCCCAGACCTCTGCATTGGAGAGACCAAACAGCCACTTCACAAGCGCATGGCACAACACAGAAGAGCCACCTCCACAGGACAAGACTCAGCAGTCCATCTGCATCTTAAGGATAAAGGTCACTCTTTCGAGGATGCCAATGTTCACATTTTGGACAGAGAGGACAGATGGTTTGAAAGAAGCCATCTATGTCCACTGTGAGCGACCATCTTTGAACAGAGGCGGGGTTTATGACATCAACTGTCTGCCATCTATAATCCAGTTTTGAGATCCTTCCCAGACGCCTTAACGCCCACTCACATCCTGGGCCATCTGATCTCAGGAATTCGCATGATAAGGTGGGGCCAGGTTTCACAATGAGCTCACCCGAAACTCTGGCTGATTGGGACCCACGCCCAGTTTCCCACCTTGGCTCAGGTGATTAGAGGATCATCAGGGGTCCTTTTGTCCCTCTGTGGGGGGAAACTCCCACTAGGTTTATATCTGGAACTCTCCACCATTTGACCTTAGAACTGAAGAAGCTTCTCGGATGAAGGTGAAACGTCTTCAAGCAACTTAAAGAAGTCCAGACGCTTTTCTTTGCAAGTCCTAATATTGACAAAGAATTGTTGTTGACACGTTCGTTTCACTAAAAGGTTGCAAAACAATACGGTTTACAGACGTACAGATATGTCGCCAGCTTCAGGCAGTTTCATTATATTGGTTTGCTTCAGTGGTTTCTTGGGCTAAGAAGAGTAAGACATATTACATATTAATTATGTGGGAAATATGTCCAGTGATTATTTAAAAACTAAGGCTAAGGGGGTTAGGGTGCAAAATGTTGAATTTATTTGGGATTTTCTTTAATTCACACAGGATCAAATTTGTACATATTCAGTTAGAATATTGATATAATGTATGCATGCGGGTGGGCATGCATGTTTGTGTCTGTGTGTGCCTCCTCAGCTCTTCCCACGAGGGTGGCACGGATGCCCCTCCGGTGGTCCTCCTTGGGCTCTCGCACTCTGGGGCCTCTGGATGTCTGGGCCCTGGATCTCCTCCATGCCTGCTTCATGCCCTGGGGGGCAGGGCTATGGCTCTCTACATCCTCTTGCAGACCATTACATGGGGAAACCTTTTGAATACAAGCGCGCTGATCCACACAGGTGTGCACACGGGTGTTCACTGTTCATAGACATAAACTACACCTCTATTGGCTGCTACTTCAAGGCACATTGTGTGCTGTCGGTCCTGCGTGCTGCACAACAACATTCAATATTTCGTATTTACTGCTGTTTACACTTAGCTAGATTAATGTGATGGTGTTGTGTTTAGTATGTTGCTCTGTTTTTTTTGCTTGTTTTCTTGTCTTTTTCTCTCAACAGCTGATCCAGGAGATTTTTTTTTCTCCCCCCCCTCTCTCTCTGTCCCTCTCCCCTTCTGTTTTTCCTTTCCTTCCTCTCTCCCTTTCCTATCCCTCACTCATGTCTGTCTCGTCTGTAACAACTGAAAATAAAATAAAATAAAATAACAAGAAAAAAAAAAAGAATATTGATATAATGTTATTATTATTATTATTATTATAAGAAGCCTTTACTGGGTTGTAAATTCTGTTTCACTGCTACATTGAACCATTTAGTGACAGCACAAAGACCGAGAGCGTTAGAAGGAGTGGGAGCTTGATGAAGTCAGCAAAGGGAGAGAGAGAGGAAAAAACAGATAAACGGGTAAGACTTTTAAAAGCCGACAAAATTATAAAGCCAAGATAGTTTTGCCCACATTCATTGATGACTTCAAATTCTCAATTTAGCATATGAATGAAATTAGCATTTAACAGGATTCTCTCTAAGCATGGCTTGAACAGGTTGGCTGCAAAATATTTTCTCACTGGACTCTGCATACTGCTGTGGCCTGAAACCATGTGGTGAAGTTACACAAGTCAGCAAGTGAAGTAACACTTCAGATGTGATGCATGGAGGCACAGAGTGTTAGGAGTATGTGAGCCTGGAGTAAACATTTAAAGCCAGTTTATTTTACTTCCTGTAGGATCCTCTGACAGGATCAGGATATCAGTCCACGTCTTCCAAATGAATTATCAGCTCACCAAAAGTTTTATCAGAATGTTTAAATGACATTAAAGCCTGGAGCGCCTTATTTGTTTTATGAGAGGGAGGCTGAGGTCCTGATCCTCAGACTCAGTTGTTCCCACAATGCAACAAAATTGGACCTGTGGCCAATCACATCCTTCTGTTAAGCCCAGTGTAAAAAACAAACAAAAATATATTATCATGACGTAACACTGGACAAAGTGATTTTTTGTTTTAAAGGTTTGAGGTTTGTATCAAATGAGGCTTTTTTAAAGGTTAAACCCTTCTTAGGTTGGTGTAAATCAGGCCTCCCTTTCACATCTTCATTGTTGTTGTTTTAATTATTAATTTTCTGGTTTTACCAGTATTACTGTGAACTGGGTTCAAGCGACACGTTACCCCAAAATTATAGAAAATAGCCCCCCCTAGTGGTGAAGCCCAAAAACTGAGTGCCTGTGCCACAGTGAGGGTGATGAAAGTAAAGATGTTAATGATGCCATAAAAACTTAAAGAAGATGAAATTTTGAAAGCGTTGTAGAAGAAACAATGAAATATTGACAGCAGCCTGTTTCATTGCTGTCTGGTTTTATTAGATCATAAAAGATATTTTTGTTTTGATGTTTCTGTCACGGCGTGAGCTATTTGGAGCAGATGGACCCAAAACCGATTCAACACAGACACACAAGATGTACGTGGCAAGAATATATTAGAGTGAGTGAAGAAACGGTAATACACACAAGTGTCTATATACAGGTGACGTACTATAGTGACTCAGTGAAAACAATGACACTGCGGGAATAACTACACAAGAAGACTAGTGACTGGGAAAATCATGTGCAAAGGAGAGGGCAGGAATACATGCTATGAACTAGAACTACTATGGTGGGCACTATCTGGCACTTGGCTGAGAAGAGGGCTGAATGATTACTGCTATAATGTTAACTGAGTGACGTCTGTCACTGTGGCAGGTGCTGGGATACTATGAACACTATGAAACAAGGGCCAGTGCCAACTGGGCCTCTGCAGTCACAGGAGAGGAGTTACGTTGAGACAGGTGGAAATGATTTCTAGAATGTGTTTGTTCAGGCTTACTTGTCAGCAGGTGGAGATTGGTCGGGAAGGAGGCTAGGTCCGGGTGAGTCAGTGAGTGATGAATCCAAATTGGTCCTGACGGTGCATCAGAGAGGCAGGCAGATGAGATGGAGTGGCGATGACTCGTACCTGGGAAGTGGTGGAGTTAGTAGCAGAAATGACCAGCGATCTGACTGAGTTGGTTGTGGGCAGGTTGCGAGCGTTGTCTGTGGATTTAACTGGAGACAGAGAATACAGTGAATACATGTACCAGCAAAAGCAAGTAACGTAAGCGGCCAAACACTAACGGTGATTAGCAGACGTTCAGGCGAAGAGTGCTTGCCGGTCTTAAGTACTGCCACTACAATCTACAGTCTCCACCAGGGCAGGAGACCAGAAACACAGCAGACAGGCATGCCACTCACCCGGACCATGACAGTTTCCAAGCAGAGACATTTGGAATGACTAAGAAACCAACAAGAAAACATGCTCAGAAATGTACATTTGTCCATAAATATGTTCAGAGCCTCGTTTTCAGTTTAGAGCAAACTGTGAAGCTGACTGGATGAACTTTCAGGAGTTGTGTGAACATAAAAAAAAAAATAATCCAAGTGACTTCTTCAGTCCCAGCTGACTGCAGGTTTCCACTATCTAAAACAGATAATATTCTGTTTTAGCTTTCTTAATAGAGGAAGTACATCTGTTTCTTAGTTGTCTGAAAAGAAGCCAATCACTGGGGTAGCCTGTTTTCCTCGCTTTGGCCCAAGCCAGGTTACGCTCATGAATGATATCTGCCAGCTCTTGGGAGAACCAGGGGTTTTCACGACCTTTTATCCTATATCTTCTTAATGGAGCATGTTTATTCACAATTTGCACAAACCCATCCTTAAAGAATGCCCACGCTAATTCTACATCAGGGATCAATCCTATTTTCTTCCAGTCATAGTTTGACAAATCATGATAAAATGCTTGCTCATTAAAATGTTTAAGAGTTCTTTTAAAAATAATACGATGTTGTGACTTGGCCACTTTAGTATTTCTAATAGCAGCAACAACACAGTGGTCACTTAAGTCGTTACAAAAGACACCCAAAGATGAAAATTTACGAGGAACATTTGTCAAAATCAAGTCAATCAAGGTAGACTTTTCGGGGCTTTTGAGATTCGGCTGAGTGGGTAAATTGACCAGCTGGGTAAGACTGATAGAATCACAGAAAGATTTAAAATCATCTGAAACAGTTTTGAGCCAATCCCAGTTAAAGTCACCAGCTAGAACAAGCTCCCCATAATTTAGTCTGGACAGCAAGAGGTTTAAAGAACGCAGAGCTTCTGTGGAGGCAGAAGGGGGTCGATAGCAACAAGCAACTGTTATGCAAAGACCCTTTGCAACATTCACATTCAGAGCCAAAAATTCCAATTGTTTGCAAATTGATTCTGATTGAACTATTGTAGCATCAAATTTTGACTTAACATAAGCAGCAACACCACCACCTTTCTTAAACCTATCGGTGGGATAGATATTGTAGCCAGCCATGCTAACATGTTCATCAGATATATATTTAGACAACCAAGTTTCAGAAATGAGGACAATATCTGCATCTGTTGATTGAACCCAGATCTTGATCATATCCATCTTGGGTAACAAACTGCGCACATTAAGATGAACTATCTTCAGCCCAGGTGAGGATTTAAATTCAGATGGTGTCTGGCTACATTGCAGCTCAGGGCCTGGGTTAGGTTGCACATTACCAGATAAGAGCAGTAATAAGACGATCAGAAGTCTCTGCTTTGTACTTATTGATTTTGACGTGTGAAATGTTGACACAAAGCAGGATTTTTCGTAACTAATTTTGTAATTGTACAAAGCAAGAAGGCTTTGAAGATGAGGTAAATCTTTCTGTAGTTCAAAATGATTAATGTCCTGTTCCAAATACATTGGAAATTGTACAGGATGTATAGCAGCAGTGACGCATGTAGATCTGGGAACCATGTCTCGCAGAATGGGGTCACTGTTAAATGTTCTCATCTTAGAAAAATTGAGTGTCCAAAAGTCCCCCACGGCCAATAAGCAAAGTAAAGTTATTAAAAAAGCCATTATCCAAAACACAATGATTGTTGATGCTGAATTAAATAGGCTGCACAAACCTAGGATGGCAAGTAAGGCTCCAGCCAAAAGTTCAGGTCCTGGTGGCTTGCTAGCAGAGGGCTTCTGCTAGCACATTCACCAATGTGGTGTAGAAGGCTTCAATCAACAGCACAGCGCCCGATGTATTGCAGATAAGCTTTTCGAGCAGCAAAGGCCCTGGTGTGTTGCCTATGGGTCCAGACAGCAGAACAGGCCCTGGTGCGGTGCAGATGGCCCCAGCCAGCAGTACAGGCCCTGGGGTGGTGCCTATGGGTCCAGCTGGCAGCACAGGCCCTGGTAAGGCTCAGTTGGTTTATGCTAGCAGCACAGGCCCTGGTGTGGTGCCTATGGGTCCAGCTAGGCCCTGGTGCGGTGCAGATGGCCTCAGCCAGCAGCACAGGTCCTGGGATGGTGCCGATGGATCCAGCTGGCAGCACAGGCCCCAGTGCAGTGAGATGGCCTCAGAAAACAGCACAGGCCCTGGTAAGGCTCAGTTGGTTTATGCTAGCAGCACAGGCCCTGGTGTGGTGCAGACAACCTCTGGTAGTAGCAGAGTTTGTTTAAACAATTATTGCACACTTTCTGTAAATCCAGTAAACTTCTTTTCACTTCTCAAATATCACTGTGTGTGTCTCCTGTATGATATATTTAACTGACATTTTTTTATTGTAACAACCAACGATTTATACAGGAAAACAATGTCTATTAACAAGGTTGCCCAAACTTTTGCATCCCACTGTATTAGTATATTTTGTCATTAGTATAATATGAAATAAATTCTACATGTGTCAAGTCGTGTGCCAACATTTGCATGTATAATTATAGCAGTGTGTATTATTCTCTTTCTCTAACGAAGAGGCCAGCCACCGTTTACAGAAAGCTGCTCTGGCCCTGATCTCATTCTTTCAGTAACTACCCAGAGCTCGTGACCACAGGTGAGGGCAGTGACCTCTGGGTAGTTACTGAAGGAATAATAGTCTGTTGAAAATAAATACTGCATTATTTTTAAAATTGAGGAAAATAGGACCTCAGATTCTTACCCAGTGCAGTGGGCAGCTGTCAGCACCCACTGTGGATGGATTAATGTCCCTTCTTCTTCTTCCCTCTTTGATCAGACGCTGAATTCACTGAAACCCACTGTGATGCTCAGCTTTATGTGCTGAGCTGAGGGGGCGTGGTCTGACATTGGATGAGTAAGATAAACTGACACACCCATCCAAACAAAAGAAGTCCACTTAAAAAAATAAAAGAGGATTTGTGGAAGTAAATGATGACAAAAGACAAAATGTCCTAATGTTTACAAAGGACAGTTTTTGATACGGTTTCACCAAAGTTTGCAAAACGATATCGTTGACAGTCTTTCCCAAATTGTTCCCACTTTTTTCTTTGCCTAACTTGAGACAGTTGCTGTCTTGTTTGCTTCACTGGTTTCTTAAGCTCAGAAACAGCTTAAAAGAAGGAAACATGTTGTTAATGTGAGCAGTAGCTGCAGCGATGTACTGAAACGTACAAATCATCAAACAAATATTAATATTTGACACAGATAACATGAATATATAAATGTCTTGTTATAGCAAAGGTTCAGGGCAAAAACTATTAAAACATTGGAAAGCCTGTTTATTTCCCCTTAAATGGCGCCACATTTGTAAGGAAAGTTCATTTGTGGGTTGAGCAGCAGAATATTTGGCTTGTGCCAATGAAAAACTTGTCAAATCTTCTCTGCCAATGCCGGACAGCTTATTCTGCTACCGGCTCTGGTTTTGAGCCTGTGGTTTGCATCCTGCAACAGTTTGTGTCCGCTTTAAGCATGCCACGTTTCACTAATGGGCCAGTAGCGGTTTTTGATAGCGGTTTTTGGGCGACACGGGCGGTTGCCCGGGGCGGCATCACGGGCATCGGCAAAAAATAAAAATAAAAAAAATAGCTCGTACTCATACCGACATCAGCCAGCGCATATTGGGAATGTCACAGGCACCGATTGGTTTTCTATCGCCCATTTGCTGGGAGTAAGGGCGCCCTCCGTTTGCGAGCTGCGCCTGCTGCTTGGGGAGGGGGAGGGGCCGGCTGCTTCCAAATAGAGCACATTTCATTCATAATGTTGTAAATCCAAGCCCATCATGTATTCCTGATTTGAATCCTGGGTTGTGTGAAATCCCAGAAATAAACCTTGGACAAAGTGAATCTGTGAACTAAGGTGTAGGTGTGTTAGGTTATGTTGTGGTGACCCTCGTTGGGGGATTTGTGTTCCTACACAGCAAATTCAAAAGTGTTAAATGTTTTGGTTTTGGTGTTAATAGTCTTCTTGCAAAAGTAGAGTTAATTTTACTCTAAGCAGAGTCACATTCTTTTAATGTAACTCTGAGGTGTAAAATGATAGTAGTTAAAATCGAGTGTTAAAAATGAGTGTTTCTCTGTCAAATCTGGAGGTGTTACAATGGAAACATTAACTCTTGACCTCTTAACTCTGAACTCCTACAGGGGCTATGACACCAACAGAGTAAATTCACAGACTCCGCCCCCAGCACGGCTCCAATCGAAGCTGAAGTGAAGCCGTTTCAGAACATTTTGCTCTACATATTTGAGTTGTTTGCCATGCTTGGTAAGTCATTTTTTCAAAGATTGTTTCAATTATTATTATGAGCTTTTACTTCTGTGGCTCTTTGGAGTTGAGACAAAGCTGTGTGAAAGGCATTAGCCATGTTGCTCGCTGATAGCATAACATTCTGTTTTAGCTAGCTGAAAGGTATTGTTTGCGGGCAAATACCACAGCCTTGGAAAAAAGCTTGCATGTGAATTTTCAGTCAAACTTTTGGTCAAATACACCTAAAACAATGTGTAGAATGTGAAATGTTGGTATAATGGTGCTACTTGAAGCCTGAAAACGATCGCCCATAAAAATAAAAATAAAAACCGAGCAAACAGCAGTAGCTGACGTCCTGATTGGATTCTACGTTAGCATAGATCCCTCCAGAGTTTTGTGCACACGGTTTAGGTAAAAATGAAAAAGGTTGAGGTTTTACATTTAGTTCAGTATTACCTGTTGCCTGTGTCTTTGTCTTTTGGGAAAATACTTTACACAAGTAATGGCTCAAAGAGGATTCCTTTTTCTTTTTTACTGTGCTGCAATTGTTTACTGGATTATTTGTGCCATTAATTAGTGTCAACTAATTTTTATTCAATCTCCGCACAGGATATGCTTGTGAAGATGGAATATGGGGGAGAGCAGAAGTGCGCTGAAGTTCCACAAAGTGATGAATGAAGGACATGCATATTGTATTGAAGAAATAAGTGATGAGAATGCTGTTATTTGCATTTACCATGTCAGACCTTTAGATAAACACAATTCTAATGAAAGTGAGAACATGTACACTGTTACATCTTTCAGAAAATGTTTTGAAATTGTGGTGCACAGTTCAGAATAAATGTTTTTCAAAAACCATTGCATCTTTTTAGCAAATGTTTATTTCCAAAAGAAATTTCTAGAAGTTCAGAACAGTAAAATTCCCGCTTTTTAGAATGAATTAGAAGATAACTCTTACGTAGTTAAACTAAAATACTCTTTGAGAGTTAATATATAAACTCTTTACACCCAGTGTTAAATTATCAACTCCAGACAGATTTGGTGTTTAACACTAAATCAGAGTTAACGTACCAACTCTCCAAAAAGAGTTAAATTAACACTCTCTGGTGTGGACCCATATAGACACTTTAATAGTGTTGAAATCAAATCCGACAGTGTTAATTTGGACATGCTGGATTTGCTGTGTACTGGAGTGCAAAATTAAAACCAATGGAAGATGGACAAGAAAAGTTCAAAGCCATCAGGTGCTCAGTTTAGAAAAAAAGAGGAAAAATGAGGAGAAATGAGCAAAAGATGCAGGTAAGCAGATGTGTGATTGGATGATGGCACACAGCAAATCCAGCCACCAATGAGTTAAACTGCAGGAATGTCTTAAAGACATAAAGACCTGGATGGCCGCTAACTTTCTGCTTCTTAATTCAGATCAAACTGAGGTTATTGTACTCGGCCCTGAAAAGCTTAGAAATATGGTATCTAAGCAGATTCTTACTCTGGATGGCATTACCTTGGCCTCCAGTAACACTGTGAGGAACCTTGGAGTCATTTTTGACCAGGACATGTCCTTCAACGCACATATTAAACAAATATGTAAGACTGCTTTCTTCCATTTGTGCAACATCTCTAAAATTAGAAATATCCTGTCTCAGAGTGACGCTGAAAAAACTAGTTCATGCATTTATTACTTCCAGGCTGGACGACTGTAATTCATTATTATCAGGAAGTCCTAAAAACTCCCTGAAAAGCCTTCAGCTAATCCAAAATGCTGCAGCAAGAGTCCTGACAGGGACTAGAAAGAGAGAGCAGATTTCTCCTGTTTTGGCTTCCCTTCATTGGCTTCCTGTTAAATCCAGAATTGAATTCAAAATCCTGCTCCTCACATACAAGGTCTTAAATAATCAGGCCCCATCTTATCTTAATGACCTTGTAGTACCATATCACCCTATTAGAGCACTTCGCTCTCGCTCTGCAGGCCTACTTGTTGTTCCTAGAGTATTTAAAAGTAGAATGGGAGGCAGAGCCTTCAGTTGTCAGGCCCCTCTTCTGTGGAACCAGCTTCCAGTTTGGATTCAGGAGACAGACACTATCTCTACTTTCAAGATTAGGCTTAAAACTTTCCTTTTTGCTAAAGCATATAGTTAGGGCTGGACCAGGTGACCCTGGATCCTCCCTTAGTTATGCTGCAATAGACGTAGGCTGCCGTGGATTCCCATGATGCATTGAGTTTTTCCTTTCCAGTCACCTTTCTCACTCACTATGTGTTAACAGACCTCTCTGCACTGAATCATATCTGTTATTAATCTCTGTCTCTCTTCCACAGCATGTCTTTATCCTGTCTTCCTTCTCTCACCCAACCGGTCGCAGCAGATGGCCCGCCCCTCCTGAGCCTGGTTCTGCTGGAGGTTTCTTCCTGTTAAAAGGGAGTTTTTCCTTCCCACTGTCGCCAAAGTGCTGCTCATAGGGGGTCACATGATTGTTGGGTTTTTCTCTGTATCTATGAAGCGCCTTGAGGCGGCTTTTGTTGTGATTTGGCGCTATATAAATAAAATAGAATTGAATTGAATTATCTCTTGTATTTTGAAGGATAGATTTGGAGACTGAGGGATTGAGCTTCCTCAGCTAAAGCCTCCAAACTCTGGAATGAGTTACCTCCACATGTTATGCTCGCCCTCACCCTCCAGATTTTCAGAGTGTGCTTTAAGACTCATCTTTATTCTTTGGTTTTCAACTCGTGAGAGAGCTTAGGAATTTAGACTGTCATATTTTGTCGTGTACTTGACCTCAGTCAGGACGATGGTGAGGGCGGGAAAAGGCAGACGTAAAAACATAGAAACAACAAGAGGAAGTAACATTAAAATATGAAGTGAACAAGAGTTTGAGAGAGAGGCAAAGACTATCTCATGCA